GAAGAACAACTATCTAAATCAGAGGTGGCCCAATGTGGCACATTGGATGATTACAAGTGGTACTTCAGTCAGTTCTGCGTGAGTATCAGACTTTCATAGAAGAAAAAAATGTAGGTTGTTCTTGGGTCTGAATTGCGAAAAGAATAAGTGACTAAAAAAAGGGAAAAAATCTGAATAGTGCAACATATACTTGCTAAAATAAGTTGTGAAGATTTAGCAACGACAGAAGCACCATATGAAATTACTTCAATATCGGTGGGAAAAAAAATCCGAGTTCCCAGCTGCTATCGCTCTATTGCTTATCCAGAGTTGTTTTCATCAAACGAAACTCTCTGGGATCTGTAGCATCATCATGAAGCAATCACCCTATCGTACAGGAGATCATTCCTGACTATTGTGGATAGATAAATGCTTCATTAAACGGGTGCAAATTAGTTAATTTAATTACTTGATTAAATTATCCCTTTTTCAACCCTAAGAGAAACATATTCTGTCCTTACCCCTATTTTCCAATCCCTGATCATGAACACTAGACGATATAAAAAGTGCTCGAGTGATATGATGCATCTGAACTGGTTTGTCAAAAAATTGGTTGCATGATATGTCAAAGGTTGGATACCCCTGATCTAAATGATCATCAGTGAGTCTGATCTTAGTTAAAGCGTTGTATGAAAAATTATTCACGAAGAAATGCACATGTCAAAAGCGTTAGTACATTGGGTTCCATGATTACTGATTCCTTTTATCATGGCGCGGTCTGTCAAAGGAGATGTTGAATCTTTTGGAGCAAAACAAAGAAGACTTTTCGGTCAAATGGTAACTATAAATGAACCTTGGATCTTTTAATGTGATCTTGAGATGAGCAAGGAATGGAAGCACAACGACTCTCCCCCCCCCCCGCTCCCTCCTCAAGATGACTAAAATGCCAAAGTCTGCAGGGAAAGTCACGCAGTCCATTTTTGAGACTGTTTTGGGGAAGGATCAGACCACTGGTGCTTATTGCTATATACTGCTGAACAGATTTCGTGATGATTTGCGAAAGGAACAGCTTGGTATGATCTCCAATGGCGTCTGTCTTATTGCCGACAATGCACCTGCTCAATTATTTAGAGGTGCGGAAAAGGAATCAAAACGACGGGGCTTCGAAATTTTGCCACTCCGCCCTATTCTCCTGATCTCGCCACAAGCGACTTTTTCTTACTCCCAAAATGCAAAGAACCATTACAGGGTCGGAGATTTGACAACACAAACGACGCCATTCAAGAAGTTGAGCAATGGTTTTTCTATGCAATCTGTTGAGTCCTAAATGTCAAAAAACACTAGGAGAAATGTATAACTCTGGAAAGTGATTATGTACTGATGTCTTGAGAATAACAAATAAAAATTGTTTCCATTTCGATTCTTTTTTTTTTTTTTTTTTAGTAATAGTTAAATTTTTACGATATCTCTTTGATTCTTCGAGCAAAGCCGCAGTTTCAAGACCAGGTTCCACTAAAATTCCATTATGTATTTAGTCTAATACAAATTAGTTCTGTTGGTATTTAAAGTCTTCGCATTTCCACGAGATGGGTATGGGAGAAGTACTACATCAAATGTCTACTTCGTCATCAGACGATGGTTCAAAACTAAAAGACGTTTTATACGTAGAACTTTGAGTCAGACAGAAAGCTAAAACTGGAAACTTCCTTCAAATAAATTAAATATTTTAAAGAGCTAACAATACTTTTAACGGTCTTTCAATCTCTACAAAACATGCATACTATAACCTAGCCTCTCTTATATATGCCATGTATACAAATACCCGTTCTTCACCCGTTTGAGGCTATTTTCGTCTAGTTCTAAATAATTGAATCCGAGCTTTGAATTTATTTTTATGTAAAAAGTATTCAAACATTAATGTGTTTTAACTTCGCTAGAGAATAAAAGAGTGTCACTTTCAGGATAGTGTTCTTTTTTATTAGAATCAATCAATTTTTTATTCTAGATTATTTCATGAATTTCTGTACTTTTCGTGTTACAAATGTTAAAAAAAATAGCCATTTAAAGAACTCTTTTAAAATTTAACCTGTTGACAGCCATGCTACTATTAATTACGAGCTATTTCTCATTTGGTAATGAACGTGTTTAAAACAAAGTATATTTAATGTTTGTGTAATACATTGTAACTACGCGAATTTATATTTATATTAGGGCATTTTTCTTTCTAAAAGTGGGAACTTCAAGTTAAAATACTGTTTTTTAACGTTAGGTGAATATAATCTTAGAACAAAATTGAAATTTATACGCAACAGTACACTCAAAAAATGTACCCAAAAGTCTTAACTCTTACAACATTCGCAATGTTCCGCGAATGTAATATGTTTCTGATTTTGAACAAAGCAATTAAAATGGAGCTATATTTCATACAGGTCACTTTTTGGGCAATGGCAGCGTCCTGGATTACGTTCGAGACGGAGGTTACGAGGTGGAACAGGTGTCCCCGGATGCCAAGATCAGGAAGTAAGTCAAATTTATTTCACCTTCTCGCCAAATAACAGGAGATGAAAACCAAGTCTTCTGCAGCCAATAAAAAGAGAGGCTCGCCAAAGGGGACCATTATTGTGATCTCTTTTGATGAAAAATGCAGCCTCAAAAAAATTACATATAAGTCTAAAGTAAGTGCTTGTGGATAGGTGTGAAACAATTCGTGGCCACCCATGTTGTTGAGCCGCTGATAGCTCTGGAGCTGTTGATGAAGTTGATAGGGCACTATTCTTTGGAAATCAATAATTGTCTCTAATAACAGTTGTAAGCTGTCTTAATGAATTTATAGCATATCAAATTTAATAGTGGCCACATAAACCATTCATAGAATTCTTGTTGAGATTTTAGATAGGTCATTCTAGTTGTCCTATTAATTGCTTATTTGGAATAGGGCGGAGAAAATTTATGGCATTTCTGTCATTGGATCTCAATATTAGTAAATGAATGTATGTGGAACAAAACTTAAGTACTGGCATTTTGGAAATAATGATAAACGCTCTTGTTTTTCTGGAGTAAATTTTATTTATTTGAACCATTTTTAATGTATCATTTCTTCCCATTTGAGAAATCTAAAATAAATTGAAAACTTTTCTTCTGATAATATTGAATCTTACTAAACTCATTCCAATAATGTGTGGTAGTAAGGTGTGGTTGTTTATGTGTATTATCTGTTCTTAAAATTTCGTAACATGTATTTTTTTTCTTCATCTTCCTATTCCACTTTAGGTGAATTTTTAATCATCCATTTTAATTGATTTTCCAAAAACACACAAAACAGTAATTAATTCTCTTTTTAATTTATGAAGATACTTTTCATAAAACTAGTATTCTTATGAAAATAAAATTTTTGTTCAATTTATTCTGTGCTTTATAGAGAAAACAACCCTAGAAATTTAATGACAGTTTTCGACAAAGTAGAACATAATATACGTGAGGCATTGAAAAGTTATAACAAACAGATACATATAAAAATACATATGAGTATCGTACACATAATTACGAGGTTTTTTTTTAAATGAGGAAAAAATAAACTTTTTGCACTATTAAAAGAAAAATTGTTAATGCTCAAATAAAAAAAATAAAACAATACGCACTCACACACATGTAACTACAAGTTCAACAAGTACCTAATTTTTTGTTAATAATTAGTTATGTACACTCGAAAATAAATATTTTGGTACAGATAATCAATTTTTTTAAATATCGTGGAAAGTATAGATTAGACAACGTATCATTTTATTAATATAATAGACTATATAATATTAATATAATAATAGATTATGAAATATAAATTAGTATTACGTATGTTTCAGACAAATTTTAAAGCTGATTTTCTATACCATATGAAAATAGTGAAATAAGTAGAAACATTTTTTGCTAATTGAAATTTGACCCACTGCCCTTTATTTCCCTTCACTTTAATAAATCATAAATAAGGATTTCCTATTTTGTCTTCTAAATTTTAATAAATAATATGTTTTTTTTTAAAAAGTTTTAAATTCTCAATTAATTAATGTTTTTAAATTTTAAGAGCAAAATATAAATATATATTGTGTCATACTTCTGTTTTTTAAATTTCTATTAATAGTTCACACTCTCCCTATATATATTTTGTTCAAATTTTCAATCGTTCATAAAATACTTTTTATTCATCCACTGCAGTTCAAATACATTTATTTAAACTTGTGAGTGACACTTGATGTTAATACAGTTTTTCAAATATTAATTCATTAATTAAATTTAATTGGTGAAAATGCAGTCTAGCCCAACCACTTGGAGCAATTTGAATAATTGCCAAACTTGGCGAAATTTTTTTTTTTTTTTTTTTTTTGCTGAAAGTTAAGTCCGCGAATCGGACCAGAGTAGCCACATTTGGCAAAATACCACCAAATAATTTCTGTTGCCAAGAGTGGTTGGGCTAAACTACATTCCAGCCATTTAATTTACCGAATGAATTAAGAAACAAGCCAATGCTTCTACTATGTCATTTGTCTTGCTACGGCACAGTTGATAGAGCGTCGGGGTAGAATATTCTTCATACCTTCGGATCGAATCTCGTCGAAGCATAAATTTTTTTTATTTGATTTTTAAATGATTAATTTTAATTTTATATCGGTGGGAAAAAATTCTCTTGTATAAGATATTTAGCAGAATATAAATTTAGGAATAAATACCGTCAGTGACGAAGCGCTGGAAAAAAAAATTCCTCTTAATATTGTGATTCTGTCATATGTATATACATATTTATATTAATTGTAATTATTTAATAAAAAGTAACTAAAATGAAATTTTTCTTTGTTGACCTAAGTAGGAATTGACTTAATTTTTTTTTTATATTGTTAAAATTTAGTTGAATGTCATCCTTATAGAATCTGATTAATACTTATATTATTAATGAACCGAATATAGAATGAAAAACTGATTTCTACCAGGCTACAAACAGGAAAACGCCAATGAACATAGTTTGATAAGCGCCAACGGCCATACCATGCTGAAAACACCGGTTCTCGTCCGATCACCGAAGTTAAGCATCTTCGGGCGCGGTCAGTACTTGGAAGGGTGAAAGCAAAACAGATTCTTCCTTCAATCTGACCATCGAAAGAATACTTCATAAAAACAGAATGAATGGAACTAAGTCGTAAACGAAAGACTCCCCTCCATTTTCAGCACGGCTCTCTCTCTCTCTCTCTCTCTGATGCATCTTCAAGAATAAATCGTATTATGTACACATTTAAAGTTCGATGACCCAGTGGACTAAACTTAAATTTTGTTGTTAAATACTTTGTTGTTCAAGCCATACAAACTATTCGCCGCTATAAAAAAAAGTACAAAACACCAACAAGCAATCTATAGTGTACGACGGATGTGTAATGACCTTCGGGGGAAGCCATCCAAAAGCAACACAATATCTAAAAATAGGATCGTCTTGTTATTCAACGTATTGTCTCATTTTATGTTGTGTTTTTCTCTTTGTTGTAGTCTTCAAACCTTGTGAATTTCCCACGTTATTTTCCCATCTATTCTCAGGTGTTGAATCCATCCTAGAGGAAGGGAAAGTCTCGAACGAAGTAAAATCGCGGATTCTTTTTTTTTTTTCTACTCAGAAGGAGAGTAACCCTTGCTGGGCCCCGTTTAGAATCTGTCAGGGTGGAGTGTGAGTAACACAAAAGACATCAAGACTCCTCCTCTTTTTTAGATAGCAATCAGGGCGCCGTTTTATAGAGACTTTGTTGGTGGCCCTCAGAACCACCCACGTTCGCGATTCGTTTTAAGTACTCTTCACCGAGATAGAAGATGAGTAGTCACTATAATACCCCTGCGCCCTCAGTTGATAACTCGGCTCTTCAACAAGAGACTATTTGGTAGTCAATCATTTAAACAAGGTTGAACTCCTTTTTAGTATACTCCAAATATTTTTTAAAAAAACTTTTTAGTGGCAGTAAAAGCGGTAATAAATCGTTTGTTGCCGGTTGTGGGGAAGAGCCGCTGTTGTTGAAATTTTGTCGTCGTGTGCATTTTTTTTTTTTTAATTCGTTCAGCCTATTGGTTACATTTTTTTTCGGGCTTAAGCATCAAGCAATGGGTACATTTTTTTAAACTTATCTTTATAAGAGGCAGTTTCGGGGAGGGGCCATGCACGGTAAAGAAACACCCTCCGCGAAGTGAAAACATATGTTGTGCGACATGAATTATGGTGTTAAAAAAACAACAAAAGAAAAAAAATTCAAAGTACGTGATTGACGTTTGTATTGTATTTATGTGTAGAAGTTTATTGTAGAAGCCTTTCAAGCTATGTGTGTATTTAATATAGCAGTGCGAAGTTCAGTAACAAATAAAAACAATAAGATATAATTTTAGAAGACTTTTGAGTTTCACATTTGATTACTCTTTTAAGATTTTTTTTTCTTCTACATTTTAAAAGAAAGTATTTTCTGTCGAATTTCATAGGGTTTTTTCTTTTTCATACAACCGATTTATTTTTACCTTCAACTAAAAAGTTTGTAGCAAGATATCGAACAAAATTTATGTACCCATAAATAATCTCCATTATTCAAGGCAGATAATAATAAATAATAATTCTTTTTAATTTTACTCTCTTTTTCAATCATTCTTTCAGTTCTTTCAATCCCTTACCTCCCCAGTTTAGATTCGCGGATTTAAATTAACTTATTCACAGATATAAACTAACGTATAAACGTGACACTAGAAACATTTTTGCCATGATAACTTGCGGAATATTAAGACACAGAAGTGCATATCGTTAAAACAGCATATATATATATATACATATATATATATATATATATATATACATATTTAAACACTGCATATAATTCTGTATATCTGGTGAAAAGTGAAAATAGCATCAATCATCATCGAAGTATGAGGGTGGTTCAAAAGGAATCTGTTTTCGGCAATAGATGGGGTGTTTAGGCAAGTTAGTGTTACCGTTGTGTGCTGTCATCTATTAAATGGCGTCAAAACAAATATGACGCTGATTCATTGGTTAGTTTTGATTGCTGACGTGTCTAGCTTTTGTTGTCGTTTTGTGTCGAATTGCCGCCGTCGAAAAGATCTGAATCCATCATAATTTCGCTTCGGGTTACCTTAGCGATCCTTCTCGATTTTCGACCTTCCTTCTTGTCAACCAATTTGTGTCTTTTTTTTTTTTTTTTTTTTTTTTCAATTTTTTCACGTCGAGACCACAATTAAATCTTGTTTGACGCAATATAGTCGTATCTGGCTCTTACGCCAATAACCTTTATATTCACTCACTCATCATCGTACTCCGGAAGTCAAGCAAAATTCAAAATAATGGGTTGTTCCCAATGAATTTGCTCCAAAGTAGACTGTCTGATTGGCCGAAAAAGTTATGGCGATAGGTTCTGGGATGCAAAGGGTGTCATATTCATGAATTTTGTAACAAAAGGATATGTAATCAATGGACGAGACTACAGTGAGTTACCTTATTCCCCATTCTTAACACGAATGCTTTCTGAAGAAAATCTTACAGATTTGTGCTTTTTTGAGTAGGTACCAAATATATATTCAATCAAAGCCCATTTTGAACTGCCTGAATAGCTCTTCTCTCGTTTAATTGGTATCCCATTATAGATCTTCTGTAGGATAATTATATTATGATCTCATTGTAGAATTATTATGTTAAAGCTAGAAACAATATTTAGCGTTTTCTTAACCTAAAAATGTATTTTGATTAAGAGTTCTTTGGCATTGAATGATTTCAAACCCATGGGGAGAGGGGGAGAGTGAGGGCTGATCTTGGAGTACCAGCGGTGTTTCGAACCTGGTTCATTGGATCCGAAGAAAGTTGACCGGTGACCTTTTGTTGCGCTTTTACCAACTAGGTCAATAGAGGCTTAACTCTCGGGCTAGTTATTAAGGCATTTTAACTTCTGGTGTTGTTGCTGAAAATTGCCGATGCACACTCCCCTTCCAATATCGTCCTGATGATACAAAGAGAAACATTGATATTTGTAGAGAAGGTCACTTTTCCAACCATTACCACAACGAGGGGGTATAATTGCAGTTGTTATCAAATTACCAGTGACCGACAGCTGTTTAGAGTGAAGCGTTCTCTTTCGAATTTAGTGCCTCTCGTTCTTATAAATAAATCCATATATCCGTATACCCTGTGTTCACATTATTTATTTTTTTCACATTAAATTGTTTAGCTTACAATTAATTGAAAGGAGTATATAGCAAAAAATGTTTATTGCGTGCACGTATTTTTGAATCGAAGTGTTTTCAAGATGGCTGAGAAGACGTTGAAGATGACACACGCTTGTCTATCTCCTACGTCAAAAACGAATGATAATATCGAAACAATCGGTTCTCTGGTTCGATCTGATCGTCGGTTAAATATTCGTGCTATTACTGAGATTGTAGGAATGGGCAAAAAATCGTGCAGCAAAGTTTTCCACCAAGATAATGCAGAGGTTCATTCCATATTGTCTGTCAAGAGGTATCTAACGCAATACAGTATCCCAGTGTTAAACCATCAGCTTTATTTGCTGGATCTTGAGCCATGCGATTACTGTCTGCTTCCTAAGGCGAAATCTGCATTAAAGGAACAAGAGTTGAGTCCGCTGGAGCTGAGAAAGAGAAAGAGGCCAGCGTCCTGAAGGATATGATATTAGAAGAAAACTTCCAGCACTGTTTCGAACAATGGAAGATTCGCATCGAGCGTTGTAGGGATAGATGAGAGGTGTGTATTGAAGGCGATGATAAGTAAATAAGTATGACATCAAAATAAAATGTTTTACGGCGCCAGTCTCTTTAATTAATAGACTGCTGTATTGTTGGGTTATGTTTTTCAACACTATTTTCACTGAAATGAGTTATACAAATTGTTTTTAAACACTTGTACTCATAATTATTGTACATAATTTAGAAAATATGTACGCTCTTGTACTTATAGTGAATACGAATAGAACCTGAAATTTCTGAGTTTCGTGTGGTCTCAAGTCATGAAAAAAATGCAAAGACTTTGCATGAAGTTAAAATTGTATTTAAATATTCGCATAAGGAACATAAACCATTCTTCTTCTTGGTTGATATTCGTTGAGACGAAACCTACCATTTCTTCAGGAATGAGAATGGAACAAAATAGGTGTCTTCGATTCATTCACGGTGTAATGTAAGGCACCTTCACTTCCCCCAATCACACCCTTCTAAGGGTCCCCTTTCGGCGATTCCAAAGAGAATCTTATCCCGGTCCGAGATGATAATGAAAAAAGGAGAAAAACAGTCGCCTGTCAGGTGGACCACCTCGTTAAAAGGTGACGAATGATCAGAAAAGGAATTTCACACTTCTTTCCGCAACCCCCAATTAGCGACTCAACCATTCCTTTTCCCAGACTGCCCCTTTTGTCCTCCCCTTTTGCAAGGGGGAAGCTCACCGGGCTTCGAATGCCCCTCTTTTTCTCTTTTGGTTTTTGAACCTGTCACACATAAAAGTCACATTCTTTTTTTTCTCTCTCTCAACCTCTTTTACACTTTCCGTTGATCTGCACAGTTGCTCTCGGCTCATCACTGTCGAGAACAAAGGAGAGGAGAGTAATTCATTTCCGATGTAATTTATTTACTTTAGGTGGTTGCCAAACTTTGGCTGTAGTGTTGGGTTTGCAATCAAGTTTTTCTCGAGCTAAGTAACATCCTTGATCGCAAGGTGGGTGAGCAAAAGCGCAATATTTCTCATTTGGTGGAACGAAAATGAGAATTGCATTCCCGAGTGGCTTTAGAATAGTTAGTAATCGTTTACAAAAGTAACTGAATCTTTTGGAAACTCTTAAATAAATGTTATCAAGGACTTTACATTGCTTAATTATTATTGCATTGTAGTTCTGCAGTTGTTTTCTTCTAACTTCAGGAAACACAGAGGGAAAATGAAGGGTACTAGGACACAAGAGGAATTCTGGAATATCATTTCTAAGTGTCCTTGTTTTTGTGATATGTATCTTTTCAAATGATTAGTAGAGCTCGGATTTTTTTGTGTGCCTTATAATGATATTTTCATCATTCTATAGAACTAAAAAAGTAATT